CCTCCCACCAGGACCCACCGAGACACTGTCCTCCCACCAGGACCCACTGAGACGCTGTCCTCCCACCAGGACCCACTGAGACACTGTCCTCCCACTGGGGACCCACCAAGGCACTGTCCTCCCACCGGGGACCTACTGAGATGCTGTCCTCCCACCAGGACCTACGGAGATGCTGTCCTCCCACCACAACCCACCGAGACGCTGTCCTCCCACTGGGGACCCACCGAGACACTGTCCTCCCACCAGGACCCATCGAGACGCTGTCCTCCCACTGGGGACCCACCAAGACACTGTCCTCCCACCGGGGACCTACTGAGACGCTGTCCTCCCACCAGGACCTACAGAGATGCTGTCCTCTCACCAGGACCCATCGAGATGCTGTCCTCCCACCAGGACCTACAGAGATGCTGTCCTCCCACCAGGACCCATCGAGACGCTGTCCTCCCACCAGGGACCTACTGAGATGCTGTCCTCCCGCCGGTACTGCTTCCAGTTCCTGCCGCTGTCGCTGAACATCAGGATGTAGCTGGTCATCCAGTCGGAGCTCCCGTACCTGCCCTGCGTCGCCACCGCCGTGACCTCCACCCTCTCTCCAAGGTCGATCTGCAGCCATTGGTTCTTATTTGATACGAGTGGGGTCCAGCCCCCAGCTCCTGTTCGTGGAGAAAGACACAGGAAGAAAACGGGAAAGAGGAGAAACTATTAAAATCCATCTTAACTGGGTGAACCCTCGGTACAAACACACCCCTATGCTGCTTTTAAGAAAATTCCTTTTCTGAAACCTAGAAAAAATGACCTCACGGTTATACGTCTCATATTAAAGGACAGAACCCAAATTATTTGTGTTCTAGGTTGGGTGGCCTCCTCCTACCGAAGTCCAGGTGCCCACTGAGGGGTCTGGGTGCTCGGTGTGATGTCCTCCCGGGCCTGGCCGACTCGCTGGCTGCTGCTTGGCCTTTAGACATCACAACTGGATACAGGGTGCCGTGAACGGAGGATGGCGCAGGACGTCTGCCTCAGACACCCCTGCCCGAGCTATGACCAGCACTGGAGATGCAGAGACCTTAAGACCCGACCCAGCCTCCAGCAGCTCACAGGCTTAGGAAGCCCCACGTCCAGGAGCTCGCAGGCTCGGAAAGCCCAGCCTCCAGCAGCTCCCAGGCTCGGGAAGCTGGCATTTAAGGCAGGAGGAGGAGCTCGGGGGTGCAGGCTGCCTGTGAGTCCCTGCAAGGCCCGATGAGGAAAGGAGCTTGAGGAATGCCCCTGGGAGGGGCAAGCACCCCACGTCCCCGGAGGACAGAGAGTCACTGAGAATGAAGGAAGTTGAGCCACAGACCTGCACAGATGCCCTTGAGAGGTGGAGCCGGGGCCAGCGTCACTGAGGCCCACAGGGCAGGGAGCAAGCCCAGGAGGCAGAGCCCACCCATTCACAGCCAGACCCCAGGGCAGAGGCCTGACTTACAGTCCAGTCTCCCAAACACAGAGTTCCTGGGGGAGAAGAGGGGATGGTGGAGAAGGGGAGCAAAGGAAAACAGGATGACTTTGGGACTGCGAGACAGAAGCGGACCCCACAGCTGAGGTGCAGACCCTCCCGCTGAGAACAGCAGCACAGAAGCCCCCGGCGCTGCGGGACTGGAGGAGCTGGGCGCCATCAGGCCAGAGCCTTCTATGTCACCCACCGTCACCAAAGAGAGGGAGAAAGATAATTTACACAGAGCTGTGGCGGGAAACCAGGGGGCAAATGTTCACCAAAGCCGTATGAAGAAAGCTTCCCAAAAACAGCCACGAGGCAGAGAAACATGTAAGTCAACATCCCTGATAAATTAGACATCCTCAAGCCAGCCTTGGAAGATCTGAAAAGCCACCTTGAATCAGAAATGTAGAAATGTAAGATATGGGCGAAAAATAGAGTAATAAAAATAATTGATTTAACTCAGGAAATAAATGGAAGAAAAAGACAAAGTTATCTTAGAAATAAAGAACACGAACCACACATAATAATAATACTTCCGTATGAGTTATAAGAACTCTGCATAATGAAGGAGCACCTCATAGAACAGCTTGACTCCAAACTGAGCCCCACCAGCAGCCGGCAGGGACGTGGAACAGAAACGCTCGTTCCTGCTGGGGGGAATGCAAATGGCCCAGCTGCTGTGGAAGATGGTGTGGGGGCTTCCTACAAAACTGTGGTACGTCAGACACTGCAGAGAATCCAGCACTGGAAAGAGCTGAGCCACGAACCACACACACCACGGAGGGCTTCAGCGCACATTCGTAGTGAAAGCAGCCCCTGTGAAAAGACCCCAACCTATGGTTCCAACTGCAGGACCTTTGGGAAAAGGCAAAACTCTGAAGACAGGGAAAGAGATCCATGGTTCGAGGTTGTGGGAAGGGAGGGGTGAACCGCTGGAGCACAGAGAATCTTAGGTGGCACTGTGGTAGGGGGCACACCTCTGCGTGGCACTGTGTTAGGGGGCACACCTCTGCATGGCACACGTCATTACACATTTTCAAAACCTCTGGAATGTGCACCAAGTGTTAACCCTGATGTAAACCATGGACATTAGTTAATGATAATTTATCAGTATTGTTTCATCAGCTATGGCAAATGCACCACACTAATGCACGGTGTCAGTAACAGGACCATGTGTGCCTCAGAGGGGGTTCTACGTCTATATGGGAGCTCTCTGCACCACACCAATGCAAGGTATTAATAACAGGACCATGTGTGTCTCAGAGGGGGTCGAACGTCTATATGGGAGCTCTCTGCACCACACCAATGCAAGGTATTAATAACAGGATCATGTGTGTCTCAGAGGGGGTCGAACGTCTATATGGGAGCTCTCTGCACCACACCAATGCAAGGTATTAATAACAGGATCATGTGTGTCTCAGAGGGGGTCGAACGTCTATATGGGAGCTCTCTGCACCACACCAATGCAAGGTGTTAATAACAGGATCATGTGTGTCTCAGAGGAGGTCATACGTCTATATGGGAGCTCTCTGTATTTTCTGCTCAGTTTTACTGTAGACCTAAAAGTGCTCTTAAAATAATACATTTAAAGGTGCCTGAGGAAAATAGACTCAAATCTCAAATGGAAATGTGATAGGGGACATCAAAGAAAGGCAGAAAAACTACCAAGAGAATGTAAATGACAAAACAGAGTGTCAGGGAAAGTGGTGGTGACAGGAGGCAGGAAGAGGAGGACTCGGGCCCACATCATCAGATGCCTGAGAAGAATGAAGAGTGTACAGAGGCAGGAAGAGGAGGACTCGGGCCCCCATCATCGGATGCCTGAGAAGAATGAAGCGTGTGTGGAGGCAGGAAGAGGAGGACTTGGGCCCACATCATCGGATGCCTGAGAGGAACGAAAAGTGTACAGGAACTAATGTTTAAAAGTAAAATCTATGAAAAGCTTTTCAGAAATAGAGGCCCCATCAGACAGTACCACAAACCTCTAAAATCACGAAAGTGTGGTTCATAAACAGAAATTCCAGAAATAGACCCAAATACGGTGAAAATTTAGTCCATGACAGAGGGGAGTCTCTAAGCTCCGGGATGAAGATGGTCATTTTCTTAACGGATCCTGGAACTACTGGGCAGCTGTTTGGAAAAGGACAGAATTAAGTTTCTATCTCACATTGTACATAAGAATTAACTCCCAATGGACCAGGGATCTCCATATTTAAACAGGAAACCACATAACTACTCGAAGAAAACAATGAGTAAATACTTTAATGTTGGTTCAGAGAAAGTTTGACTATGACCCAAAATCTGGAGGTAACAAAGGAAAAAGACTGATAAATTTGACAAATAAACCACTTTAAATGCATGACCAAAACAACAAGTCAAGGACAACTAACAGAGAAACTACTTGTCACGTACATTGCACATTCTGTCGTGTGGAAGGGTAGGTTGAATGAACAGGTGAATTCACATCACAGGGCGCTGTGTGGCTTGAGGAAGGAGGAGGGTCCCTGTGAGGAGAAGCAGACAGGTTTCCAGGGTGGACTATCCAGTGAGAGAGAAGCCCTAAGAACATCTGTCTCCAGTGCTCCCACACGAGAGAAGGAAGGGGAACAGGATCACACACAGCTGCTGCCTGATCACTAATTGAACCAGAAGCCTTAGAAACCGGTTCCTGCACGGTGGGGGTACCAGGGAGTGGGAAGGGGTGTCAGGACAGGGAGAGGCTGAGCATTTTTGCTGAGTCTCTTTTCTGATAGCTCTGATTTGAAGAACAATCGTGATGTTCCCCATCCCTCCATCTGCTCCAGAAATGAGTGACTGTGACCCACCAGGACCTTAGCTGGGGGTAAGCTGGGATGGACGATGGTCACAGACAAATGAGTCTCACGCACTGCAGAGGGACAGATCCCGGAGGGCAAGGAGATGCAACCCACCCAGGCACCCCGGAAACAGCCTTGACTGGGCGCGGACACTGCAATCTAGTGAGTAAAGGTACTTATCGTAGCATGTGGGTTTGCAATTCTGAAACTAGAATCAAACAATATGTAAATATAAACAAGGAGAGACATCTTTTCACTCCTGAAGACAATGAACAACTCAGGCTAAAATAAACCCTGTGTTGTTGGATTGGAATCAATGAGACCTGGGGTCCTTGGAGAACTGACGGGTGCCAGGGCTGAGGCAGGGAAAATCCAGGACCAGCTTAGAGGATCTTGTGTGCCAGGAACCAGCGACGTGCCCCCAGAGAGGGTGTGTGTTTGTCAGAAGAGCACAACGAAGAGCCTGTCCAGCCTGAAGGAGCTTCCAAGGGCCAGCGTGGGACAACTGAGGCAACAATATTTTTTAAAATGTATTTTGTGCCATAGCGTATAAATACTCATGAGTCCATACTGATATAAGTAAATAATCAAATAAATGCATGTGCAGAGTGGAAGGGCCAGCTCCTTCTCACTGGAGAAGCCCACCGGTGATTCAACAGCCACGGTTAAACTCCAGTAATGAAGGGGCAGGGAGGTCCCCGATGGATGTGGAAGCTGCTGGGTGGAAGATGGAGAGAAGCAGCATTCGCATCTCCGAGAAGTCCACAGGTGAGTTAACAGCGTCAAGGTTAAACTCCACAGTAGCCAGAGGACAGGGAGGTCCCCCGATGAATGTGGAAGCCGTTGGGTGGAAGATGGAGAGAAGCAGCATGGGCATCTCTGAGCCAGCCAGTGAGTCAACAAAGAGTCACGGTTAAACTCCACCATAGCGAGGGTGCAGGGAGGTCCCCGATGGGTGTGGAAGCTGCTGGGTGGAAGATGGAGAGAAGCAGCATCCGCATCTCCGAGAAGAGCAGCTCCCCAAGATGCTCATCACCATCGAAGGACCCCGGCCCATGTCCCCACTGACAGACGACCCCACCTCAGGACGCCGCGACTGGACACTTGCGAGGCACAGCTGGGCTCCTGAGGGGCTCCCGCCAAAATTCCACAGCCTCACCCCAGTCAGGAGAAAACACGGTGCAATTGAAACCCAGGCCGATTCTGCAAAACAGCTGAACCGCTGCACAGCAAGAGGCGTGTAAGTCACAAAAGACAAGGGGAGACGGTGAATTCTGGAGGATGGGAGGAGACGAGGGGGGAATACGGAATGAATCATGTGGGATCCTGGACGGACTCAGGGAGGCGCCTGCGGGAGAAACCG